GGAAAACTGCCACGATGATGCCAGAAACAGGATTGAGACCTCAACACTAATGTAGTAGAACCTCGATTAACCGGACTAATGGTTGTCGATAGACATTCGGATAATCGAAAATACGGATAATCAAATGTATGAAGAATAGTGTTGTGTATTTATTAAAAATAACAAAGACATACATAGATATCAACGAAAATAATGTTTATTAAGGAATTGAACAAACTTCTTTATGTATGTACATGTATATTTTCTTTGATTACATTACATAGATATACTAAATTGCAGCAATAATCATGCAAAAATTCGAATTGTAGGTATATGCATACTAAAGATGGGTAACTCACTCCGGAGTTATCACTCCGATACAACTCATCCCTCGGAGTGAATCCGAGGGGAGTTGTCTCACAGGATTTGTCATATCCTAAATCCTAAACTGATACAAAATCTGTTAACATGAGCAGATATTTGCTTGAGATTTTTATATAAGAATACAATAAGATTTGGGTCGAAAGAAGTGGTCATGTTCTAGTCTAACACAGCCAGTTTTAGGACTTTCCAGGTATATAATATCTCAAAATAATGCTATTTTGTATTCAATATTCTGTGTGCAATAATGTTTGTCCGTAAATGAGCTCTTTCAATAGTATACAACCAGCTAAAAATATTTAGTATTATATTATAACTTTTAACTTTAAGGAAATAATAAAAGAATGTGAGGTATTATTATAATAATACCTCACATTCTTTTATTATTTCCTTTTCGAGAATTAATTATACATCAGATAGTTTGATTAGCATACTATAACTTTTACACAATTATAAAATCATTATTGTGTAAAAGTTATAATATAATACTAAATATTTTTAGCTGGTTGTATACTATTGAAAGAGCTCATTTACGGACAAACATTATTGCACACAGAATATTGAATAAATCTTTGTGTATAATATTTTTCACAAAATATATTTTGTGAAAAATATTATACACAAAGATTTGTTCTTATTTCATATATAAGGTTCACTACATTATTTTCATATAAAAATAAACATATTCAAAGAATTCTATATTTTCTCTTCAAAAATGATTACAAAATTGATTTTGATTCCCAAGATTTTTGTCGATTTGAGATTTGTATGCATATTGAATTGCATAGAATAGCAATTATTATAATAAAATGAACAAAAGTGTTTGAACTATTTGTAAACTATTTCCAAGGTCTTAATAAATCTTTAGATATGTTAACAACAGAACACATTTGTGTCAAGTATTATGTTTCAAAGTTGTCGGAGTTGTGAAGTTGTTAAGTGGATATAACTCCTCTTTGAAGCGGAGTCAAATCCTAACCGATCCGGCTTCTGATATGATAAGCCCATCTCTAGTACATACATATAAATTGGTCGCGGTTGGGAGTGCGGATAATCGCAAATCCGTATAACCAAAAATAAAAACATTCACATATAAGTAGTTCTATAGTAAATTATTCTGCAACGTATATGTTGAAGACCAAGAGAAATGATTTTAGCAATTCGATCTTCAACAGAAAGATCCAATCATTCTTACCTGCAAAGAATAATGATCACTGCTTCCAATAAAAAACAGGTTTCGGTGAAATCTCCTTGGAGTTAGACCAAATTAATATTTGCCTAATGCACGGATTATGTTCCAATCAGGCAGTAGTTTAATACATTCATTTTCAAAATATATATTGTTTGGGATACAACATCGGTCCCAAAATATGCAAACTTTTGGCTAAAAGTAAGAAGCAGAACAAATGCTATTGCACGCTGAAAGTATATTTTGTGACGAGAATGAGTTTAAGCTCCTCTCCTTTCGGGCATATGACTGCTACAAAATATTATTTAGCATCGCTATCCCCATGCCAAAAACATCACCTTAACACCTTTTACTCGCCGTCTAAAAATACCTGTAATTACATGTGAGGGTTAGTTGCATTATACAAATGAAACAAAATTAACTTTGTAAATGAACCTATTTCATAATTACTATTGTATCAAGTGTATGATGACATAACTATTTGTTTGCATTAATTTAAATAGGGATAATCCAATAGAGGAAATAGGGATATCCAATAGAGAACAGCTATAATTAATAGTACATTATCTGACCTTTTAACTGCACCTGCCTCTTTTTGTGTGGCACACACACAAATACACTAAAGTGTCGCAGGGCTGTTGCTCTTGGGGCAGGTTTGACCTCCTCAATGGGCAGACCAAGGCATAGCTAACTGACTCGTTGGACGCACAATCTATATTACGTGGATCTAGGCTAAAGTAGTAATGGTTTAACTTGAGTTTGGTAGCCTTTCAAACAATACTAATTGTCACAAGTAGATGGACAAACATAATAGATTTAAATCCAGATTCGCAATTTTTTTGAATAGCTACTTGAAATATTTAGTAAATAGGTTTATTGATTAAACACTTGATTATTAACACAAATAAATCATTTTTTGACCTTTGAATTCAGGTTTTCTAAAACATTTGCAGCAGGCAAATTTTTCGGTAAGAATATTTGTTTATTGGTTGAATACTGAATTAGTTTGAAATCGTCTTAAGGTAAACAAAAGTATGCCTCCTCTGTTTAGCAAGTAAATCAATTCAATGAAACCCTTATTCCACCCCACTACATTTCATGAGTACATAAACCTAAAACTTAGAATAAAGATGATCTAAATATTGAATAAGATTATTTATAATAAAAATATGTATTAACATATATTTTGAAAAGAGGTTTATTCAAGATTTTATAACAAAATACTGTTCACATAATTATCAATAATAATAAATACAATGAATTTTAATAAATTTGTTGACATTCATTGAACATACATAAATATACGTTGATCGGTTAAAAAAACACTGTGACCCATTTACCTCTTTTTGAACTTGTTATTTAATATATGTTTATGGATGTAATATTTCATATCTTCAATAAAATAAAATACAAATTTCAAATCACATACACTCTTTCTTTCGCTTTCATTGCCTAAAGATTTGATTACAATATTTATTTATAATTTGATTTATCTAATTTATACACAACATTATACATTCACTTGCATACATGTATATATATATATATATATATATATATATATATATATATATATATATATGATTCTGAATTTGATGTTGACATATGTATTAACAAAGTCTAATAATCAGGCATAACATCAATAAAAAACATGAATTTCTTTAAAAAAATTATTTTAAATCCATACGTTTCGGCTATAATCCTAGCCTTCATTCAGCCGAAACGTATGGATTTATTGCCCGATTATTAGACTTTGTTAATATATATATATATATATATATATATATATATATATATATAGACACACACACATATATAAAAACAAACATATCCTACTGTAAAATAAAAAGTGATACCTGATAAAGTGAAGTAATCACTGATAAAATTTCATTTTATGTATGAACTTAAAGTATAAATTCAATCAGGTGAAAGAGAACTGTCAAATATTTAGTTTCTCTTAAGACGAATATGTGTTCGATATATCTAAAACATAAATTTTTAACAGAATTAGTAACAAAGAAAGTTCAATATTAATTAAATAAATATTGTAATGATGAATACTGACCAATAAAGTTTTACTTTGAAAATGTTAAATATAATTTTGTTTTATTTCATGGTATTGTAACTAGAAACACCCAAAAAATATTGGTCTATATATAATCTATAAAAATATATAATATCAACTTGAGTAGTATACATATTTGTATCGTTGCATTAATATAGAATATATCATTAATATTACAAAACACAATTTAAAATTAATCCAAGAATATGCTGTTGAAAATACAGAGGCAAAATCATTCCCATTCATGAGGCCTCTTCAATTTATTTTATGCGGCCTTTATTTACATTCTTTCAATGGATGATGCAGAACCATTATTCATCGCTGACAAGACTAACGCATCATACCGCAAAACTACTTTAAAAACGGGTTTGCCATTACAAAAGCTCATAACAAAATTAAAAATTATATTTCAATTAAACACTTAAATTCAAATTCAATACTGTTTACTTTAGCAGTCGGTTGAATAAAATTCTCCTAATTTACGCTAACAAATATTGATTGCATATAAACGTTGGTATAAATTCAAAAATTACAAGAATAAATACATTATTAAAATATTATACTACTTTAAAAGTAATTCACTATTGAGACAAAATACATTAACTAAGTTTGAATGACTAGCTTACGTCACTTAAGAAATACAACCTATATAAATACTATTATACTTACAACTAAAATATAAATAATGCTAAAGTAAGTATAATGTTTAATATCATATGTTATAACTACACTATATAAATAAATATTTTTACAATTTCCCTAGTAATTTGCTATATTTGACCCTGTTACGTGTAAAAGTAAATTTGGCCAACAATTCATTAAATAAGCAATGGAAATAATGTATGAAAATGCTTGCTTACATTTAAATACTTCATGATTGAAGTGACTGCGTAAACGCTGCCAAATTGGCTCAAAACTTTAAGTTGTTTAAAAGCAATCTTAATATAAATTAAATATTGTATTGAAATTTCAGTTTGAAAGCAAACTCCATGCAAGCTGAACGAAACAATCACTAATTGTGTGAAAATAATCTCTATAATGCATATAAATATACTTATAAAAAAAAAAACAGTTCCACCTTAGGTTCATTGAAACACTAAGTTAGAATCGCTAAAACTTGGGTAATGCAATAGAGATTTCTTTCATTGTAAAAATTTTAATTTCTTAAATTTTTAATTACCTATTCACCTGCTAAAACACACAAATACAAAATTTCATAAATATTAAGTTAAGTATTATGTAATAAAATATTCTTTTCTTATTATAACTAGATATACAATAACAAAATTTATTAAATATATAACGCTATTATAATGGAAATTAACGAAATTTCCAATAATTTTCTAAATTTATGCTAAATTTATACCGAATTTATACTATGTCCAGCATAGCCTTTGGAGTAGTTTTTTTTCATGTTTTTGCTTTCAAAACACTTATTAATTATATCGAGATTCTCATACATAAAAATAGCATCGCAGTAAATAAAAATTAATGTAAAAACTTATTGCTTGATATGTTGTTTGTGATAGGTAAAATTATCTTAAACTCCGTTTATTTAGCTAAATAAAATTATGCTGAAGTCAATAATAAAACATAATCACCTGGTGGTGGAGAAAGTCGGCGTGTTGGTTTGCAATTTACATAATCATGATCTTTACTTGAGTTGTTACCATTGCAACAATTTTGTTGAAAACCTTCCTGGCAAGCGGTAATCTGAGACTCCGCACCATCCTCAAAACTATCTAAACATTCCGTACAGTTTGAAGCATGTGACAGACACTTTCTTTGGTGATACATTTTATTTGTAAAACAGGGTTTGATAGGAGATATAAATGGTGCTATATTTTCATTGTTCGTTGAATTTCTTCTATGGCGGAATTGCAAAGAAGATGCAGTAGTAGCATCATAGTTTCTCATATTTTTTTGATTCTTCCTATATTCTTTATCAAATGACATGTTTATGTAATCATCGGCAGAACTGGCCAAATGATTATTATTTCTTCTTCCTCCATTCCAAGACATTTCAACATAACCATCTGGTGTTACTTGAGTTCTTTTTTGCAAATTATCCACATGCTGATTTCGATTTTCTTGTCGTGGACTTGAGGGGGACATGTCCACATATTCCTGCTGTTGATTATTTTGTCGCATAGTAATTTGTCTCATCATTTGCATAAGTGATAAACCTCGTGGTGAAGAAATGCAATTTGGTTGCAATGGAGATGTCGATGGTGCACTAATGTTCCGCTGTCTAAATGATGTATTACTTGGTGTCATATCCATATATCCATCTACTGTATCAGAAGATGACATTACATCTGATAGAGAATTGGAAGTTAATGGACGCATCTCAACATATCCATTGGAATTACTATTTTTCGATGTCATGTCGACATACCTAGACAAAAAACAATTAGTATACGAAGATAGTGGCAGAAATTATATAGTGCCAGAAAAATAATAAGTCAATCACAAACCCTTCATTTTTCAAGTGCCGGCGCTTGATGTTGATGTCGCCGCTGCAGGTATTGACTGTTACTGGAGACTTATTTCGAGTGAAATCCATTTCCATGAGATCGTCCATCGGCTCCACTGATCCGTGCAGAGTGCGACCCGTACGTTCTCCCCAACTTGTAGACAGTAAAGGGGCGCTGCTTGCTTTACGGCTATGTTGGTTATGAACGGCTCCTAAAATAAAATTAAAAAAAAAAAACAGTTCAAATAATTTCCTTGAAAAAAAAAATCCGGATGCGTTTGTTATATTTCAACTACCAACCATGATGAGTAATAGGCGCGTGCGTTTGATGTCCTTGCACGTGATGGTGTGATTGCCGAGCTGCTTGCTGTTGTTGCAACTTAGAGCGACTTCCAACACTAAATGCCCGGATTCGAGATGCATTGCTTTGGCTATTTGCTATTCGTTCCGCATTGAGATGATTTTTGCGTATTATGTGTTCGGGCCTGGAACCAACCGAATAAGCGCGCACCGGGCGTGAATCTTCGTCATCAGAACTAGGCGCAAAATATGATGTTACCTACAAATATATTACAGCAATGTAGCATGTCACAATTCAGGATTAAATATTTGAAGAGTTATTACAAGTAATTCCATTACTTTTTCTAAGTGATACTCTGAAAAACGCAAATCAGTCGAAGGCGTTCCAGAAGTAACGCTCGTTCTTGACATTGAACGAGCAGGTTCCATATCGGCATAATCCCGGGGCACGCTGCCATTTCCAGACATCGGTACATATCCTGAATCGTTTGTCATATTAACAAACGAAACGCTACCGAACCCTCCATACCGGAAATCCATCGGCCCATCTTCTGATGTCGATGATGCTCGACTATGTCGACAATGAGGTAAACTGAATAAATAACAAAAAATAAGATTAAACTAAAATAGTAGAATAAATTATGTAAAATAAAAAATTCTAATCACCAAGATGCGACTATTTGAGGAGACATCGGAACGTAAGGTTCGCTTTCAACTAGTCTATCGGCAGAGCTCGTGCTCGCAGTACAACTCATGTCGGCGCAACTGCTATCGGAAAAGGACGAACTAACACCTGCAATGCGACCACTGACATCATCTGCATCAGAAGAACTACTTTCACGACGGTTTCCGTAAGAGCCTTGTATCATCTATAATGCAAAAAAAAAAATCACTGTGAATTCCATAAATAAGAATAGATACTAAAATTACATTCGTATTTATCGTTATTTACCTTTGATTCTGACTGGATTGTTATGGTGGAGCCCAAGCTAATGCTGTCCGAAAATTTAAAGTTATCGACTTCATCAACGCCCAATGGAGATTTTGATTCTTCTGTGGAACATTCCGTATCTCCTAAGAAAGATATTTGTAATATATGAACTACATACACAAATTAATCAAAATCATACAAAAGTGGAGAATTTAATGATATGATCAATAAAGGTACCTGCAAGTATCAAAAACTAGTAATGGAAATTGCAATTCTATAAACAAGCAATAATTATAGCGTTTTTGATAAGTTGAAAATATTTTTAAAAAATCGAAAAGTTTTGCAATTTTTTACAATTATCATATTTTGCGTATTTAAAACTTTAAGTAAAAAACTTAAAGACTTACATGATTTAGAAAAATATTTTAACAAATTAAATCTTGAAAATTGAGTACTTTTAATAATAAAATAGTATTTTTTTCTATTGTTACTAATTATAATCGTCATTTTATGTTCCGTGTTACGTATTACGCAGAAGTTTTAGAATTGGTAAGCATCACAACTATTTTCTTTTTAGATTGAAAATAATTTTTATATAATGTTCATCATATTCGATAATAAATGATAACTTCTATTGATCGCATGGAATAACCATTATGATAAAAAAATATACACAAATATAAATAAATATATATATATATATATATATATATATATATATATATATATATAATTCAAAAATCGCCATCCACCGATGTACAAGGTTGTCCATGATTCCCAAGTCATATTGACAAAGTGAACAAATTATAGTATCTTTCATCTAGGGTAGAGAAATTACTTTGCCTAATTGCATCCATAAAAACGCAGATAGTACAAATTTGGCAGAGGGAACCGCTCAGTTTCCAAACCACATTGCCTCCTCAGAAATACGTTAGATAACAGTACGTATAATACTGAAACTCACATGATGCCAATTTATTGTGGACATCAAAATGCGACCCTAACAATAAGTGAATAAAATAAGCTATATCAGTATCTATATCTAAAATATATTCGATCTCAAAAAACTTCTTAACATAGTTCATACTCATACAAATTAAAATGGATAAAAACTTCGAAATCAGCACTAATAAAATAATAATAGCTTCTTCAAATGTAGTTTTTGGCAAAGTTAGGTTCATCCGTTTCAAAGATAAGAGCCAAAAATGCAAAAGATGGCTATTCAGTTTTTGAGAGAACGGAACGCCCGATTTGAATGATTCAAAAAAACTATTTCATTTATATTGACAGAATGAAGAACTGATTAAATTTTGGGAAAGGCTGGTAGAGTAAATAAAAAAAAAATTTAAGTAGTGGTGCATGGCATCGTGCCTTAAGGAAAATTTCTGGAACTTCCCATACCAAAACTTAAAATTTTTAAAAAAGATTCAATTTTCTTTTAGAAATCTGAAAAAAAAAAATTTCAAAATTTCCGAAAACGACCTTTTTGAAAAATTTGATTTTTTTTATACTTTAAAATATTTTGGAAATTGTGAACTTTTTTTCAAAGCAATGGCGATACGTTAGCTGCGTAGAAACGAAATATCTAAGCGAGTGGGCGCCGCGTCGCAGAATAACGGATAAACATTGGTACGGAACCTATAGAAAAGTGAACAAAATTTGTTATTATTATTAAATATGTGATAATTTGATGTGCATATGTCTAATGATCATTTTTGTCCGCCAAATTGCATTTTTTCGCCTTTTTTATTGGATCTCCGAAACCCCTAAACCTGCCTTCCGGAAAATTTCATAAGTTCTTCATTTTGTCAATACAAATAAAATGTTTTTGAATCATACAAAGCGGACGCTCCGTTCTCTGAAAAAATCAATTACCATTTTTGGCACTTATTTCCCGAAATTTTGTATCCGCACATACGCACACACGCACACACACACATACATACACACACATACATCAATTTTTTCTAAGGTGTGCCAAAATGTTCAAAGGGTTTTGAAACGTAAAGATATATAAAAAATTTTATTTTCCATTTTTTGCGATTGCTATAACTTACCCTACGGGAAGTTAAAAAATGCCATTTGGTGGTCAAAAAGTATCATTAGACTTATGCACATTAAATTATCAAATTTTTTATAGAGATTTTAATAAAAAGTACAAATTTTGTTTATATTTCTATAGATTCCGTACCACGATTTATAATGCTCCAACGACGTAGTTAGTTCACGACGCGGCGCTTACGCGCTTTTATTTTTCATCTCTAAAGCAGCTTCGCGGTGCGTTCGCTAAAAAAAAATAATTACAGTACGGGAAGTTCAAGCAATTTGCTTTAAGGTACCGCTAGTTTTTCTTTCGATTGTGGAACAAATTGATTTATTCGTAACTGTCAGACAACTAATCACAATAGATTGAATGTTCTAAACAAGTATTGTTTATTTGGAGATTGAATATTTAGTGCTGAATCACGTGAGTACCTATATCCAAATTGACGTCATTTGTTATTCAAGATTTAATTGACGAAAGGTACTGCACCGTCTCTTTTATGGCGCATGCTGACGCACTCGTCGAATTACGCTGCGGAAATTTATTTTCCAAATTTCCCATGACTGATCGTTACGTGTATATTTGGAAATAATAAAATCAATTTCATTGAATGAGACCCTAATCTGAACTAGAAGTACATATTTATAAGGTTTATAATAAATATTCATAATTTGCTCAAATTCATATTGCTTATTGCTCATACTACTAGACATAAGTAAATTCTTTGTAACATTGCTATTTAACATACATATCAACCATTATGACGTATTATGATTGCCAAATAAAGCCACTAAATTAAATAAAAAAAATATGTAAATAATTTTTTTATTTAAAACCTGCCATTTTTTTGCACTTTAATTCCGTATCTCAGAAACGGCTGAACTTGCCTTTGCCAAAAACTGATCAGGACACCAAAATGTTCAGAAACCTTTGAAACGTAAAGAAATATAAAATATTTCAATTACAGATTATTTTGCGATTACTATAACTTACCCTACGGAAAGTTAATAAAATATTAAAATAAACAATTTTGCAATTTTGGATTACTACATAATTTTAACTTCCCGTCGTAATCGCAAAAAAATTGAAAATAAATTTTTTTATATATCTTTACGTTTCAGAAGTTTCTGAACATTTTGGCATACCTTAGAAAACATGGATGTATGTGTGTGTGCGGATACAAATTTTCGTCGACGATTTCGGGAATATGGTTCAACCGATTTCAATTATTCAAAAAACATTCGATTGCTATTGATAAGGAGACGTTTCGAAGTTGATTAGCTGATTAGTTTTTGGCATAGGCAGGTCTAGCCGTTTCGAAGATACTGGGCAAAAATTACCACAAACGGTAACTCAGTTTTTAAGAGAACGGAGTGTCCGATTTTAATCATTCAAAAAACATTTTACTTGTATTGACAAGATAAACAACTGATTAAACTTGAAGGCAGGTCTAGCGGTTCCGGAGATCTAGTAAAAAAAGTAAAATAACGCCATTTGGCATTGGCGCATAAAATTATCAGATATTTTATAGAGATTTTAACAATAAGTAAAAATTTTGTTTACATTCCTATGGGTTCCGTACCATAGTTTATCCGTTAGACGGCGACGCGGCGCTTACGCGCTTCGATATTTTGTCTCTTTGCAGTTAAAGCAGTACGATTGCTTTGAAAAAAGTTCAGAATTTCCAAAATATTTCAAAACAAAGAAAACATTTTTTTTTCAAAGTCTTTTTTTTTCTAAAAAAGTAAATTTTTATCAAAAATTTATAGTTTCTCAAAAATAAAAATTTTTCAAAGTAAAATTTCGTCAAAAATGTTAATTTTTTTAAAGAAATATAATTTTAGGTATGGAAAGTTCCAGCAATTTGCCTTAAGGCACGATGCCATGCGCCCCACTAATTATTATTTTTATTTTATTGTTTTTTTTGGTTAAACAAGTCCTATGAGCTGTTGTTCTGAGCTCAAACATCATGACTTTTTGCAGCCACCAAACCAAACGGTGCCCTATCTCTATTGTTATTTATTTGATTAACTGAAAAACCATGCAACTACTGCTTGACATCAGGCTGTCCAGAGCAGATATCGAACCTGAAAACTCGAGTAGTGCATAGCCGTAATTGATATCCAACACAAATGTATTAAACTGACATCTAATACTTTTACCTTTCAAAAGTCAAAACAAGAGATTAGCTCAAAATCTGGACCATAATAAAAGACGTTGGGCAAAACTAAGAAATGTTATTTATGTACTTATCGGCTTTAGTCATAAAACCTATGTTCATAGGATTGTGAGAGGATCTTTACCTAACATTGTATCATCGAATTCAATTTACACCTTACCTTTTGTAGTTTCAGGTAAATTATCCTTATTATCCTCATCCTTGGTGCGCACCTGGGCCTGTAAGGCTTGGAGCCACCTGTGAAGTTCGTCCTCGTTGTCGCAAACAATGCAAAAGCAATTATCCTTCATATGTAAAGCGATCACACACTTGTGTTTGGTGTCCGATCGTCGATTGATGTTGAAGCAGCTCCTCAATAGAATCGCGCGCTTCGGCGGCGACCTTGCCTTGTACTTCTTCTCGGAGTCGTAGTACTCGAGACGCGCCGATGCCTCCGCGGAATCGGATCGCAACACGAAATATTTCTTTTTCATCGTCTTTAGTTTTTTCAAGTAACCCATTAATACCACGTCGGGGGTGGTTGAAGGATTTGCTGTTCTTGCAGCCATGGTAATTATTTTAGGCTCAATAACCAGACGAATTAGAAATAGTTCAAGATCTTTGATATTTCGAACAAACGACTCCACATTGGATGGTAATCCAACACGCTGTTCATTGGAATGTTTACATTTAACGTCACTTTAATTATATTTTATTTTACACAAGCACTTATAAAAATTGCGTCATAAAATGTAACAAAACATTTAATTACCCGCAATTTTTCCTTTGCCTTTGCCTAAATGTGAGCCTTTTCTAAAAAGATTCCACCAAATCCTTATGTCACAGTAGTCGCCATGGCCCCGTTTGTTTGTAAACTATTTTTATACATGCTATGACGCCGTTTGTAATTTCTAAGGGCAAAATAAAACTAACCGCGTTTCTAATAATACACTAATAACAATACAATTCATAAAATCCATATATGTTTTGTCACTAAACACAAAACCTTCAATAATAACTGCGCACTTAACAGAAATGAAATGTTGTTTTGGTTGACTCAGATTTCAATCGTCTTGTTCACTACACTCAATATCAGTTCTCTCAATTATTAAACACGAAAAGCACTTGTTTAACTAATGTAGAACTGTTTATTATAACATCAGTAAACTCCACTTGCTAAATTAGGTATGTTTTAAGTGAATTTTAAGAATTCGCTGTAGCATGTGTACATTATCGTTTATTGTATAGTACTATTATGACGCCGCCATCAAAACAGACGGCAGCCTCGCTCACTAATAGTGAGAGATCCGATGGCACCAAATAAAATCTTACCAAGAAATCGTTTTTGTACATATTCTAATATTATATATAGTATATCTTGATAGTTTTTTCGACGTTGAAACAAATTGAAAATAATCAGCAGCTCATTCGTCGAATAAAAGAAAGAAAAGCATTCTTTATCAATTAAACGTTTCGGTACTTGGTGTAATCACTAAGCAATCTAAAATACAATAATATGAATACAATCTTACGGACATTACAGAAAAGGCGAATGAGACTTTGCCCATTGAAAAGATGAGTATAAAATTAAGTTAAAAATTATAACATTCTGGATCCTCCTCCCACGAATAATGCCTAACGGTGGTTTCCGTGGGGACCAGAGGCAAGGGCAAAGCGGAAGTTTTAGTCGTTATTATACCAGGGCGGTATTGAGTCCGACATACCCAGACAAAACACCGGTCTGGGGTGCATAAAAGAATTTCCTTCGCTATACAAAAATAAAATATATGTATATTTCTTTTCGCGTTATATAATTTCTTATTAATGTCCATATAATTATATAATTGTATGTATATTATTGTATTTTAAATTGATGAATGATGATTACATAATTTTTTATTCGATAAATGCTGTTGATATCACATTCAGTTCAAATTGTAATTTAATGATCATTTTAACTGGTTAAAATTCATACTGAAACAATAACCATAAAAAAACAAGATATTATTAAAAAATATTGGCTATTAAAATATAAACAGTATCTAATCTATCTAATCCAGGGCTTCTTAATCTTTTGTCCTGTACGACTCCATTTACGTTTGCAAATTTCTTAAAGAATCCGCACATATAAAAAAAATAATTAACTAGTGGTGTATGGCATCGTGCTTTAAGGCAAATTGCTGGAACTTCTCGTACTGTAACGAAATGTTCGAGGAATAATAAATGTTGTCAAACAGATTGTTATAAATTCCGAAATATCGTTTAATGTTTATAAGAATTATATAAACTGAATTACAAAGTTAAAATTATTTACTTAAATTATATAAGTGAGCTTTAGAATTTTAACTAGAATTAAAACTGAAATCTCAATTATTATCGATATTCAAAAAAAAATTGAAATGAAAAAATGCTTTTTTCAAAAGCAATTAATTCGTCAACACAAGCAGAAAGTTTTTTGATAGGATGCTTATTTCTCTCAAAAACTGTCATTTTTTGTACATTTAGCTCTGTATCTTCTAAATGGCCGGACCTGCCTTTGCCAAAAACTGATCACCATTTCTCCCGATCATTACAAATTGAATGTTTTTTAGATAACTGCCATTTATTATTATTATAAATAGTATGAAGTGTAAATATATTTTAAAAAGTGACTAAAATTTATAAAATTAGTATGTTTCAAAATATTAATTTTAATAAATTAAAAATTGAAACAGGAAATAAATTTTTATTATAATTGAAGGATGTAACCAGTCTGGATGTAACCAGCTGTCTCACTATATCCGTGCATTCCAGGTCAATGAAAAGCCAATGCGACGCACAACAACAAACTGCTTCTGACACTCCGTTCTCTTTCCTCTTTACGTGCGCAGCATGAGCGAGACAAGGATGAAAACACATGCACTCGACGCGAAGACTTTCAAAATATTGTTACGTTGTTACGTGGGTATTTGTTATTTGCGTTGTTGTTTGTGTACAGGAATTCTGGGAAATCGTTAATTCGCAAATATTTTTGAAGATTTGATTGTGCAGTGGATATTAGAAAATATTTAGGAAATATAAATTAAATATTTTAAAAATACGTTTCTTAACTGCTTGTTATGAGAATAATATGGCGTAAATAAATTTATTATTAGATTTCTAAGTCATATCTATGTTTTCAAAATATTGCACTTGATTACAAACGTATAAATAAATGAATTAATTAAACGCAATTTACTACGATAATAGTAGTATACACAGATAACTTACAATAATATAATTTTAAAATAACTAACTTCATACTATTAAAGACAAAAATGATTCGCAATTGTAACAATATATTGTACTACTATTAATAACAATAATTTGTTCAACAATTTTGAACAATAAGTATAATCTACTTATTCAATTATTGAAATATGATTAAGACGCAATGCATTGCAATTCCAACTAAAATAAGACGTAGTTTTCACAATTACATTAAGCCAATAAGGAGGCTACCAATTAATAATAAATATCAACTTATTATAAATAAATATATATCGATGGGTCTTTATATTAAAACAGCATTTTGTCAAAATATAAAATTTGCAATCTCACATACTATAGATAAAAAGCATTTTTGCTGAAAGTTCTATGAAGTAAATATCACAATCTAGGTCCAAAAACTTGTAACACAAGAAGCACCTCAGTGCTTATGATTTATCCCATATGTGAAAATTTTCCTTAATAATATTTTCACAAAAATATAAAACTAGTAGTGCTGGTAAGTGAATTACCAAATTACCAGTGAGCTACCAAACTGCAATTTTCACTACAATACTATTTAATAATGGTAATTACCATGTTGGTCACTAATTAGGTAACAAAGTACCCGCAAAATGCTACTGACTAAATTGAATAGTTAATGAAGCTCAAAGAAGAGAAATAATAGTAAAAATTTAAATATGAAAATTAACTTTACGTTCTCTTGTCGGGCATAGGCCAAGCTGATGTAATAATTATAAATCTTAAGCTAAAAGCTAATATAATTATAAAGAATATTTAGTTGTAATTTATTCTCCAACCAAATATTTCCATATCATTATATCTATATGAATGCATTTACTTATAATTGCACTTTGATCAATCATTAAACAACCTTTTTCATGGAATAATATGTATGTGTTGTTTATTTGTGCTTACATCGTATTACTACGCATTATTTGAATATCTTCATTGGGTTACTTTCCCACCATTCATTGTATTATTAAGAAGAAATTGACGTCAGCTGTTGTTTTGAGTCATTTGTTTCTGGAAAAGTGAATGGCGTGAATCATAGTCACACGTCAAATTTTACTTCATTTTAAGCAAAATAAACAAAATTATAGAAAAATGTTTCTATTGTAAAATGATTTTCTTGTTATATATCATTTGAAATGTAACATTCGGCTGGGTTACTCTGATGAGTAATAGTAACAACATAGGCATGTTATTCTGTCGAAATAATTTGCACAATCATGATAAATGTTTATAAGATTAGCTGTTTTTTTTACAGATATTCCGAAAGAAACTGCATAAGAAAAAGCCATAAAAAGCGGTGAAATTAAATGTAAAGAATACTTAAAATTATTCCACTACTATTTGAAATTTATGCAAAACATTTTTCCATATCAACGTTTTTTTTAATTCATTCGAAATAAAGTTCTTATAACCTATCTTGAAATCTTTGCTTCGATTTCATCATCTATTACACTGCGCGACACGAAATTTTTTTCCTGAGATGTTATGATGGTTTTTAAGCAATTTGAGGATGCTGATTCCGAAAACAGTAACAAAAATTTGCTAACCAGATCTAGTTTTTGAGATATGCCAATATACTAATTTTACCACAAATGAGAGTCTAGGTAATAAGTTCAAATCAAATATATCAGTTTTTAATTCTTCCTGTCTTCTCCTTTAACGTTGGTCCATCCATTACTTGGTTCGAAATGTGAATGTTCTAGGTTGTTTATCATTAGCACGGATAGGGGTTGTGTAGCTGATCTTAAGTAGATCTCCATACCATTGGGGTTGTGGTTTATGATCCTTTGCTTCTATTGTCTGAACTTATTTCATTGGTATTTACCACATAGAAGAAACAATCGTCGTAGTGATTTTGAGGTTTTTTCTACATGACGGGGGTATAAAAATTATATATTTTTTTCTTCTGGATAATGACGTAAACTCACTACGCAATTTTTTCACATAGTACAAAGAACCCATGTTTTATCTTTATTGCGCCATTCAGTTTTAAAGTGGTTAAAATACGATGTCGTTACGCAGATTGACATAGGTTTCCGGTATTTGTCGAAAACATTAATCACAGATGTAACAAAAGCTATCTGAATTGCACACAACGTCTTACAGTCGAAGCCATACCAAAAACAGCCGATAAAACACTTATTTATTCCTGAAACTGCAATAATCATAGCCGAAATGACTAATTGGGGTAGTCCCCTAAAACTCAAAAACTAGAGCGTTACAAAGAAACGGAAGGTATATTTGAAATCAGCGTGCAATTCAAAGTTCGATGAAAAAAATAAAAGTGCCATTTTTGTCGCGCAGTGTTATCATTATCGCTTCATCTAATTCAAATATTTGCATAGATAAAAAAAAAATTAAGTATATTGAATTTCAAACAAATTAGCAAAATGTTAAAATTTATTTTCTTAATATTTTTGAAAATTTTGAATTTGATATTTATTTTTAATAGATACGATATGACTCGATTTACATATGTGAAATGATCATTTTTGACTACGAAATGGTAATTTTTGGTGATAAGTGACACACACAGCTATATATATATATATATATATATATATATATATATATATATATATATTGATGAGTTATTTAGAATCGGGCAGTAACACCAGTGTATTTTTGTATAATTAATTTCTTTTTCCACTGAATGACGGTCTCGATGAAGACCGAAACGTATGGATAAATAAAGTATTTCAAAACTACTTTAGTTTTTTTTTCTTTACTTGGTGTTACTGCCCGATTCTAAATAACTCATCAAAATATATATCAACACCAAACTCACATATTTCAAAATATATATATATATATATATATATATATATATATTCTAATATATAAAAAAACAATCAACAAAGAAGCTTAAAAAATTATACAAAGTAGAAATTTTTGCTTATTGTTTGATGGTAATAGATAAAATAAACCGGTACAGTGAATGTCCAACGCGTTCATGGAACATTCGATTCAAACTCTTGTTAACGTAAAACAAAATCTTAATTTAATTTAGTAAAAGATAAAATATTTTAGATTCTGTCGGACAGATTACCTAGAATGACTGGACCTGAATTAGAAGTTCTGGGTTCGATACGACTTTGAGCAGCCAGTTGTGAGGCAATAGTGACAACGGTTTTCTCTTGATAATATAGATTGCAACATGTTACCAAGTGAAAATAGCCCGTGATCCGACATTGCTGCATCAATGAATATTCGCCCTATTACAGAAGATGTAATAATAATACATCACATATAGATAGGACCACTGTTTGGGTTGCCATCTGTAGAACCGTATACATCACATATAGATAGGACCACTGTTTGGGTTGCCATCTGTATTTAAAAATCAAATCAGCTCAACAACTTATAGTACTCTCAAGTTCTGATTGCTGTTCAAAAAAAAAAAAAAAAGCCTGATACCAATGATTGAAATCAACTCCTTCCAGTGTGTCGAACCCTGCTTAAATAGTCATATCTCCGAGTTTTCCATTTTTTATGATACCATAGACCTTATACTACATAGTCCTATAAGGTCTATGGATGATACTAATTTGTTATTGTATGCGTAATCAATCGCTGATAACGTCCACAACTTCAGCAAACAAAATAAAAACACCACAAATTTATAATATGCGTGAATGATATATTCCAGAATTTCATATTATTTTACTAATAACAAGTGTTTGTACATATATAATATATAATATGTATATATATATATATATATATATATATATATATATATATATATATATATATATATATATACACTTCATGTACAAATGCATGATATTAATTTAATTAGAGATATTATTAGCCTTATATTAATGATAATAGATACATTCTCACTGAATGGAATAACTTTGAAACACAGTAGACTCTGCCAAAAATACATCCAAAAAGTACTATATTTCTCTCAATAAAAATATTTTATTCTTTTTTGAAGACACTAAAAGTTTTGTACAAAATTATTTTGATAAGTAAAAAATTAAGTTTAATATGGGCTATATTCATTTTATAAAAAAATTTCACATATAATTAGTGTCATATTTACAAAATTACAATAGTTAGTTATATAAAAATTATTCCTTTTTAAAAAAATACTTTTTGGATGAATGAAAAGCAATATGATAATGAAACAGGTCGCTAAAATTATTTTATAAATAAATTATGCACAAAGTTGTAATAGTTATTATAACAGGTATTCATATGAAGCAATAACAGTAGATGTTTTAAATCTAGTTGTAAGATATAATTACATGTATAATAAATAAACATATAATCATATCGTTGAATAGAATATGGATATTAAATATATCATGAATAATTCAAATAAATAGAAAATTCAAGTAACAACACTCATTCACCACTTTCATTTTAAAATTAAATTTACAGTATACTTATCATAGCAAATTGAGATGATATTTAATAACAATCTTTTTTTTTTTTGAATTTCCTATTATTTTAAATTTGTTATATGCTATCATAAAAAATTATAATTACATAATCATGACCTAATCAATTATATTGATTTAAGTATGATATAACATTAAATTTTTTAGTTGTCAGTAGAAAAATGTTTGATGACAAGAATGTTGCGTCAACATCAATTTAATTCGAAACCACACACTGAAGATATTTTCAATAAATCTTAAGATTCATTCTACATTCATATTTGTACAAGTCTTAAATTACAAACATACAACAAATGATATACTCAGAAAAATATAAATAATTAACATCAATGAAGCATTCAATCCCTCTACATTACCAATTATTAAATTATCATGAGATAATTGTAAAATATATACTTTTTTATAAATATGGATAGGTACTTCAAACTAGGTTGATATTACAAAGGCACATATCAGAAAGAAAAATATTACATTAGCTCAAATACAGTTATTGGTACATAGGCAACTGTTAGAAAATATTGTTTTTTAATGCTAATATCTGTATTACTTTAAGCAGCCGAATAGTATACATAGGTTTCATCAATTCTGTATTTTTATAACATTTCTCGTTATTAGGTTATTATAAAACATATTATTTTTAGTATGTAATGCGTATATGTAAACAGACATAATTAGATGTTTAAAGTATGTGTATCTGTATATTTAGTAATATTTAATTCATATTTATATATATATATATATATATATATATATATATATATATATATATATATATATATATATATATATATATATATATAGGGTAATTGCGTTGAGAGAAAATACAACTGACAGTGAATTAAAAAATGTTGGACATATTTTTTTTTGATTTGGCTGTTCCTAAACAAATAGTCTGCAACAGCTGTTATGATTACAAATAAAGTGAATCAAACTTGATTCAAAAAGCAACAAAATTTTTCTCGTATTAGTATTCTTGCTTAATTGTATATTCTATTATTTAAACGGTATACCAACTATTTATTTAATAGTTTAATATATGTTAAAATAATTAAGAAATCATGGTGAATCGTCCTTAACAGTAAATGAAAATTTTCCTTATTTTATTTTCTATGCCAAAACAGTAGTGATTTAGTACTATATATGTTAGTTGTAGAGTTTGACTAGTTCATTATAGTTCATACGACATATTTAATTATGTATCAAGTCAACATAGGTTAGTACTTATAATTAGACAATAGTTTATTTTAATTACGAGTATATTTTAATTATATTTTATTAATTATAAAGTTTCATTAAAGCCAACAAATAGGTGAATTTAGCCATTTAATGACTCTTCTAAAATAAAATTATTAATAAAACACGGATTGAAATATACCGTTTTGCCATTAAACAACTGTGCTGGAGTCTATCAAACTAATTCTAACACAAAATTATTTATAACAATATCTATAATAAATCTTTTAAATAAAATAAAAAATAAATAAACAGCTCTACTAATCAAAAATATGAAACTAAAACAAAGACTAACAATTAACTGAAACACTTGCAAACAAACAAAATTAAAATATTTTGTCAAATCAATTCGAAGACAAGACATATTTTCAATAAAACATAAAGCCTCAACTTCAATATTTCATATTGCAAACCTCAACAGATGAGTATGTTGAGTTTGTTCCATGAATATACTCAAGTTGATTGAATATATTGTTAACATATACTTCTATAGGAATTTCTTATGCATAGAAAAAATAATCTAAATATTAAAAATAGTAGATTCGACCAGCGAATCCATGAGTCCGCATTCGGAGCATTTGATTTGAATAAATGCTTGGCAAACCGGTGTCAATTGAGAAGACTCTTTTTCCAACATTAGCAGATATGGGTGTATCACCATTGATTATCCATAACTATTGTTGATAGTTTCTTGGTGATTTTAATCTATTTGCATTGTTCTGTTGCTTAAACTAATTGAAAATGTCCTACTTCGTAGGAATTTTGTCTATATGTATGAAACTATCTAAATATTATTGTTTTTGTTTGAAGTAATGTTAATCTTTCATATGAAGTCGCTTAATAGGGCAGACTTTGATAAATAATTATGATTATAAAATACTAGCTAATACATCTAGCCATATATAATCTAGATAAAGCAAACCTTAACTAAAACAAGTAATTTTTCTATACGACTGATATTTCTAACACTTCATATTATCTTACATCTAAAATATTTAGCTATTCCATAGGATATTTTTTCTAATTTTCCTAACAATTACGAAACTTCAAAAAAGTGGCCTCCATATTAACTTCAAACTCGTAGTATAAGTTTTGAAAGTAATATACTATATACTTTTCCCTAGATTATTATTTTTTAATTTCATGTTTATTATGAAAAACGTGGAACATTAACAATATTTTAAATAATTATAACGAACAAAATTCATATAATAGGCCAAAATAGTATTGTAAAACAGATAATCTTTAGCTAAAAAAATGTAGAATCTAATGTGACACACATTTTTTTCTCGTTATTGCGTTATTGAATATACAATTCTAATTTCTACACAATATATCATATAAATTTTCATCAGTTATTGAGTAATAAAAAGTACTAGAAATTTATATCAAGTCAATATTGACCTTAATAATTCTCTAAAATGGCAGTCTTAAAAAAGGAAACGTTCTTATTGTAAATAAGTACAAGCTACAATTGTTGTTCAATATTATGATTATACGTAATAATCTCTTTGTTAATTATTTTCCCTAATCTAAACCATATTTTTCTAAAAATATGATACATAACAAAATAAATTACATATGTACAAGATAAAAAAGGACTTATCAGCTTTAGTGTTTAACTTTCAAATTTTCGCTTTTCAAGAAATCAATTTGCGCGTAAGTGAACGCTGGTTCAGGGTTGGGGCTGGGAGAAGCCGAGAGAGGCGCATCAGGACACCGCGGACTACGCTCTGCTTCGGGCGGCAGATCTAAGCTCGCGTAGTGCAGCTCGCGTTCTCCACCGACGGAGCCCGGACGGGAAACGATGCGTTCGCCGCCCGCAGAACTGGGACGGACGGCCAGCAATTCGTATCCTGCAGAACCTTCGAGCTGTTCCTTATGTTGCTGCTGCTGATTCGTATTATTATTGTTGTTGTTATTTATATTGTTATTGTTATTTGAAGTGATGTCAGCCCGTCTCTCAAATAAAAGTCGGTTCTGTGCATTACTAACATTCTTTGGAGAGCTAACTTCCGGAACTTTTCTCGTGGAATTAACTGACTCAGGCGCAGCGTGGATTGGTCTGAACTCTGCACTTGAGGCCTCCGACTGTACAATCGTAGTGATCGCTGTGTCTCCTGTTACTACAGTTGGTGTTAGCATTAAAGCGTAGTCACCAGAAGGATCCGACATCCGTCTAACGGGACTGCAATTTATATAATCTGAGTCATTTCCGGAAGTACTGGTATCACTACAATTATTATGTAAATTCTTTTCATCCTTTTCAGTAATAGGCTCAACCGTTGTTTGTGGTTTTATATCATCTTCATTTGCATCATCTAAGCAGACTGTACCGCTAGACGCATCTACCTGACATTTTCGTTGATTATACAGTTTATTCGGCATAAACGCCTTAGTGGGAGAACTAGGACTAAATGGAAATATGGTATTTTGGGATCCTGAAGGAGTTACTACTCCGCTATCTTTTGACTCTCTTCTTTGGCGCGTTGTCGAATTCGAGCCCACAACCAAAGGCAAATAACCAGGCGGGGGCTTGGGGGACGAATCAGTTTGGTTGCTTCGTATCGTGATAGGTTGTGATGAATGTGCAGAAATAGTATCATGATTTTTTAAATTTTTCTGATATTTTTTGTATACCTTATCGAAAGACATACTAATGTAATCATCTGCAGAACCAGGCAATTGACTAGTATTTTTCCTGCCACCATTCCAGGACATTTCAACATAACCTTCGGGAGTGCCTTGCGATCGTTTACGCGGAAGATCTACGGGTTGGGTTCGATTTTCTTGTCGTGGGCTCGATGCTGACATATTAATATAGTCTTGTTGCGGATTATTTTGCCTTCCGGTATATTGTTTGATATTTTGAGGAAGTGATAAACCTCTTGGGGAGGAAATGCAATTGGGTTGCAATGGAGATGTTGACGGAGCGCTACTGTTTCGCTGCCTTGATGGAATTTGCGTCGAAGACGCATTTACGTTACCAGTATTTCCCGGCGTCATATCCATATATCCATCAACTACATCAGGAGATGACATAACATCTGGCGGAGAACTAGAAACCAACGGACGCATCTCTACATACCCATTGGCACTGCTATTTTTCGATGCCATGTCGACATACCTAGACGAGAAAACATTTAGTATATAATAAATATTGCGTCACAAATAATAATTAGTCAATCACAAACCCTTCATCTTTTAAGTGTCGGCGCTTGATGTTGATACCGCCGCTGCAGGTGTTGATGCTTACTGGAGACTTATTAGTTCGAGTGAAATCGATTTCCATGAGATCGTCCATCGGCTCCACTGATCCGTGCAGAGTGCGACCCGTACGTTCTCCCCAACTTGTAGACAGTAAAGGGGCGCTGCTTGCTTTACGGCTATGTTGGTTATGAACGGCTCCTAAAAAAGAAACAGTGCAAGTAATTACCAGGATTTTTTTTCTGGCTGTGTTCCGCACATTTTAATTATTTACCATGATGCATGATATGCGTGTGTGGATGATGACACTGCATGTGATAATGCGATTGACGCGCTGCTTGTTGTTGTTGCAATTTCGAGCGACTACCGACACTAAATGCACGAATTCGGGATGCATTGCTTTGGTTGTTCGCCGTTTGTTCTGCGTTAAGAGCATCCAGGTGATTCTTGCGCGCTACCAGTTCCGGTCGAGAACCAACTGAATAAGCGCGTACTGGCCTAGACGATGAAGAATCTTCGTCATCAGAACTGGGAGCAAAATACGACGTAACCTAAATGAAAAATAAAATATTACATTATATTTCATAAATATTTTGAAAACTGTCAATTAATTAACTCACCTTTTCCAAATGATATTCTGAAAATCGCAAATCGGTCGAAGGTGTGCCAGAAGTAACACTCGCTCTAGAAGCTGGTCGAGCGGGTTCCATATCGGCATAATCCAATGGCGGATTTGCTGCTATAGGCACATAACTAAAATCTCCACCACCATTGCCGGACATTGGTACATATCCAGAATCCGCTGCACCACTGGCAGACGACGAAGTGCCACCGCAGCCTACATATCGATAATCAACTGGTGCATCTTCTGCTATCGACGATGTTCGACTGTGTCGATAGTGTGGCGGACTGAAAATTATGCTAAGTGTGAATGACATTTTGCCTTAAGGCAAGTTGCTTGAACATCCTAAAAGTTGCAAATAATCAACTTAATCCAATTATTTATTCGTCTACTCCTAATAATTAACTACACGAACTTAGGGTATACCTATACCTATTTATTCCAAACTTTAATGATTTTTTATATTTAAACGACTATTTTCTGGCCTATAATTTTCAGGATGCTTGATTAGACAAACGGTTCATAGTAATATATCACGTAAAAGGTTCAATAAATTTTCTACTAGTTACAAAAACACTGCTAGGCCAATCTTCACCAAAAACTAATCAGCACGATTCCAGTGATATCAATCTAACATTTTTTAAATTTTCAAACTCGGTTCAAGATTTTTGGCATTAATGTTGATGCCAATAATGTTGCACATGAAAATTATGAAAAAACTAATCAAAACGAGTGCTTATCGATTCTTATCAAAAGCTTTTAAATGTTGAAATTGGCTAAGCCGTTTTTGAGAAAACGCCAGTAAAAGGTCAAATTTTAGCTCACATACACAACACGCATATATACACACAATTTTAGTGTAAAACAATTCAGAAAGATTTGAAACGCCAAGAAATGAAATAAGCAAAACGCATTTTCTGGAACAAATTTCTCTTTCGGAAAAATAAATTATATTTTATTAATGATTTTCTGATGATGATCTTCATAAAAAGAACGTTCTGCTTACCTAGTCCCAGCTGTTCCAGGGGACATTGGAACGTAAGGTCCGCTTTCAACGAGTCTGTCAGCAGGACTTGTACCCGCGCTACAACTAGTGCCAACACCACTAGTATCTGACAATGGTAAACGTAATCCTGCAATTCGGGTATTAACATAATCTTCCTCAAAACCATCTACACCTGTCCAACATTCATCGGGAGTTTCCTCAGGAATTACCTGCGACATAAACAACATTTTACATTTGGATAAGAATATAAAACAAATGGAAAATATATAAATAAATTTATTACTTGTGTTTCTGGAGGCACTATAAATCTGGAAGTGAGGCCAACACCATCCTCCAGCAACGAGTGTCCACAGCAATCGGTTTCATCAATGCTCAATGAAGACCCGGCGCTATCAGTGGAGCAAGCACCACTTGGTGGGCTCATCACTGGGGATCCTGACACCGCAGCTGAATAAAAGAACATTTTCTTATTACATTTTTTGATTTGAAGATTTTATTGTAAAGTAGGTAGCTATATTTTGGTTTCAAATTGTGCTAACATAAAATTTGTTATTGAAATAAATCATGTAATGAATCAAAGGATAATGTAGCAATAATACTAATTGTAAGATATGTGTAATATTGTTTTCGAATAGCTAACATAAAATACCTCCTGGTGGACTATAGCTCAGGCCTCTGGTATGTAGAGTATGCGAACGATGAGACATGGCGCGTTGCTGCTGTTGTGATACGGAATTGGCATGAGTCACCGATCCGGATTCACTGGCCGTGCGTGCCCGCGAAGGCAAACTGTCGCAACGTTCGCGCCCCGTTGTCGCTGCTGTACCTGCAGAACGTTAAAATTTAATTGCAATACTTATTAACATAGTTGCAATTTCATGTTACATGTACCACTTTGTAGAGCCTCAGATTTAATTGTACGTACCAAGCTAAAAAATCTGATCTACATCAATCGTTAGTTCTGTTTTATGAATTATTTTCACTTGATATTAAATATATAATCATTCATAAATAGAAAGGCATGTATTTTGTTGTCTGCACCTATTTCCCTTACCGAAAAATGCTAATATTACTTATTCCGCGTGCTTTCATCTACTGCTTGTTTAATATAATTAATAACGTAGATCCTACTTAAATAAATTCATATTGGTACATGAATTTTGTATTCAATGCCCATTATAACTACTTTAGAATTATAATAAGCATTGAATGATATAATATATTTTAGCTCTATGACATGTGATAAATTGATCGCAAGTATAATTACTTTCATTATATTCTGCAAATATATCATAAATACAAAAAAAACTGCAGATAGTTTTTTATTATTATTATTTTTTATCACGTATCAAAAAAGGCCCAATTCCCAAATAATTTTAATGATATTCAAAATTTTTATGTTTAATAAATTATCATAATATTAGGAATTGAGATATTTTTATAAAATAAGTTTGTATATGTCTTACTAACATGTTATGTTATACTCATGCAATAATCTTCTGAAATGCATAATAAATAAAATAACCGATGAAACAATTAATATAAAGCTTGATACTGGTGCAGATGCGTGAATATGGCGAGTTGAAGATGAGATTTTTGTGAAAAGCGAATATATATATATATATATATATATATATATATATATATATAATATTGAAGTGCTCGAGTAAATGCAATGATTCATTATCTAGCCCCACCGTTTGTTATAAAAGATTTTTAATACATTTTTACACCGAAGTTATTTCAAAATATTCGGATATATTATTATATATGATATTTTTCATATCATGAAAAAGAATATTTAAAATTACAACCAACCGGCCGTTACTTAAATGTTAATAGTGGGTTAGTACATATAAATCATTACATTTATGTACATATTCATCAATCGTATTAGCAAACATATGTCCTGCACAAATACTAATCTATATGCTAGGCCTGTTAGAGCAGTTGAAATCAATGGAAAATTGAAACATAAATTCATGACAAAATATGGGAGCAGGAATGCATTTCGGGCCTAAAGGCCCATGCTTTGCTCGCGAGCTAGTTTGGGTAAAGCATGCATGTACAAGAAGGCGTCCGTACTCTGTCTGGTGTTCTGGCGCAGTTTTTGATGCGTCCTACAACCGGTACTGCCGCGCCGCGTGATCAACGTCGGCGAGTTGCCAGTGATGTTTCGTGTCTTGATCTGTCCTTGTGCCTCGACTGGTGGGTCCTCAACAATGCTCTCCATTGAGCTGTATCCTGCCGTCGAATGGTTGTTATGCTTGACGACAATTTGCGTTAAAATAACGTCTCCCCCAACTGAAGCAGCGGATATTGAATCATTATGGCAGTTTTTTGCTGATTCTTCGCACAACGGTAATGACTTAGTGCGCTGATGTTGTTGATACACAGAACAAGTGTTGTGACTGGGAGGAGAAGGATGATGATTTTCCGAAGAAGTGCGTCCAGCATCCGGTAGCGATAGAGTACGCTGATGGCACTGAACCGTCGTATGAGCTGTGGAGTAAGATATGACTTTATGTGCAATGAGGTGAGAGCAACACCGCTGTGTAATATGTTATGATTTACTACGTGCCACTATTCACCAGTATTGTACCCACCAATAAACTTGACTACCCAGAGGCGACGCATAGCAATAAGCATATCAAACGTCACATGAAGCGCGCGGTACGAAAAAGCGAACGACGTCAAATGATTGATGAAGATAGCGAAATAAAACAAAATATCGACACAATCGAATCGCTGGAAATGTATCAGAATAAATTATTTTCAACACAATTCGATAAATATATTGTTTTCAAATAAAATATGTACATACATACTGAAGCATAATAGTTACGACCGCCTCTGAGTAAAAGTTTTTTAATAGACATTTGAAAACTTGAGTCGAGCAAACAAACACTCAAGAAATAATAATAATGACATCAATAATAATAGTAATAAAGATAATATAAATAAATTCATATACATATGTATGTTCCATTTCAAAAAGTGTAAAAATGCAAAATATTAGTATGTTATTTTTTAAATATGGCAGAGAAAATTGTCTGCCTGAAATATCTGAAAGTGATTGCGGTTAAAGGTAAGTCGTAACCTAAAATTCTGAAAAAACAATTGAATCAATGACTGATAAACTTTCATTTTTACCCAAAAAAAATTGTAGAAAATTAAGAATTTTCAAATTTCAGATCCAGATAAGTTGTTGTTAAGCAAAATATTCGCACAAATATTTATTTCAATTATGCATATTAAATAATATGATTACAGTTTATGAATAAAATAGGGCGTGTCTTGAGTCGAATTGATTACTATAAAATATATTAACAATTTTAAACTAACGGCACTTAAAATTAAGTTTATAATTCTGAATAAATTGTCTGATACGAACGCAATTTTAAAATTCAATCAAACATATATGGAATAAAATATATAACTGTATGGAATAATTTCTAACTTGTATAGAATCGTCCGAAATATAAAATACAAAACTGTATAGAATAAATTGTAACTTGTATAGTTTAGAAGATTATTCTAGCTTTTTTCTAGCCCTATAGCATAGGACTTCTTAAGGTATCGGCAGTGTAAATAAACTTTACTTTAAATCTACTGCTCATTCATATTATATTGCCATTTAATAACGTCAAAACAATTACTGAATGTCCGAGTGTGGCAGAATGCAACTAAAAGAATAACAAAAAAAAACACTATATTAATATAGAATTATTTATTTAAATATTAACTAATTAGATTATAGTGATATTATGAAGATTTAATAAATTAACTATAGAAGCGATTTTTCAAACCGGTTGTCCTAGGATATGAGTCATTTGAAATATTTCAATCCAGATTAAAGTAAATAGTCAAACGATATGATTCAATGTAAGACTGAATAACTATGATGCGAATATATATAATAACAAATCAATATACCGATGGGATTTGTCTCTATAATTGTAAAAAATGTGAAACAATAGGAATATAATTATAATTTATATTAAGTTAATGGACAATCTGCAAGAAAACGAAAATGGGTAAAACTGGAATTTTTCAACACCGGCTTAAAACATATTGAGAGAACATCACTATGTATCTGTTTTAGAAGACATTCGAATTGACCTAATAGAATTTGAACAGAATGGTCGCAGAAATTGCCGTAGATAATACCTGAGACGGAATGTCTCCTTTGAGTAGTGGCCGGTCGACAGTGCTGTTGATGTTGCTGCTGAGATGCCGTTGACGTCTTGCAGAAGCTCCACGCGGCCATAGAACCGCCGCCGGCGGTGGACGTGTTGCCGCCGGATGACGAATACTGCGGGTTCCGCGTCGTATTCATCATAGGAACTGCGGGAACACGAACGCCACAAAACGTCACTTATAGTACACTGCTATACGTAATTTTCGCAAGACATTTCACGTTGTACCACTTTACGTGATTGATCAGATCGATAATATTTTATGTAAAATTAAGTATCAATTTCTTTACATAAGATCATAATAAATAACAATTTAAAAAAAAGTTTACGTTTTCGTAACAATGTAATTGTATTAATGTGTTAGTCTGGAACAATTGTGTGTACATATGTAAGTTTAAATAACGTAGATAAAAAAATACAAACAACGTAATTGAAAGTTATTATTATAGAATTTAGGAAACTCAATCTATTCATAGTATTGAGTAACAAATCGTATAAGATTTTTAATGTGTAAATTATAATAAAACATATAACAATAATTCACATTATGCTTTTATCTACGCATAGTTCTGCGCATTCCAAAACGCGTGTGTCCTTGAAATGTGATGTCAATATCTGGTCTATACCTTCATATATAGTACTATTGACATGGATAACACAGTAGTTCTATTAAAATTTCTACCAGATGTTTGAACATGAAAATGTTTAATATTTTTAAAATTTTAATTTTATTATATTTATCAGTATTATGCACAGAAAAACATCACCATCAAGAAAGCCCATTATAACCACCATGCATAACACAGCAAAAAAATGCAACGAAAACATTTAGGTGAAATTTTCAATGTGCTTAGAGAGATGCTTTTCTTTACACCATGATATGATAAATGTATGAAAAGTACAAATACACATAAAACGATTCAACACCGAACTATATGCAAGTGATTTCCTCGCAAAGCCCCTGTTTTGCATGTAGAAAATCTCTGTGAATGATCGTAATGTACTACAATCGAAAATTGAAAAAAAAAACAACTACAGTAAAATAAAAATCGAATAATTCGCATCAAGAGGCAAAATCAAAATTCGAAATTCCTTCAATTGAATTTTAGTACAAATCAAAGTGTAACTTATAATGTAAAAAAATTAAATCTATACATTACTGCATTTCAATCTGTTCATTTTAAAAATATAATATAAATTTAAAATCAATTTATTTTGGAATGAAATCATACTCATAAATATCATAATATACTGTTGTTTTCATTGAAGAGCGTTCAGTCATAACTAAAATGACCATATTGATAGATTGAGTCTATTTTATATACTCATATATATATATATATATATATATATATATATATATATAATGTATATGTATAATTATATTTTTATATATATATACATATATAAATGTGAAAAGTAAGTATTTTCAACAATAAAAGCTTCTTCCATATATTCAATTAAAAGACAAATTAAAAATAGCTGTAAATCTTATATTAAACTGGAGACAAATAAAAATGTACATTTGAGGTAAGCAACACCCCACACAATTTAACACCACGAAACATTTATGTGAATGTCCATTCAAAATAACTGTCGAAATACATGTATAACAAAATAAGCGACAGCGAACAACTAGGGCAATCATGGCCTACCGTGACGTGTGCTTGTTGGAGAATGATGGCTCTCTTTGGAGGCTTGCGACTTTGAGGCCGAACCAAACTGCTGAGTTGGTGGCACGTCCACTGCAAAATGTCATATGTGATCAAATGGGGACAGTTGACACAGTAGAGCGTGTGGCAGACACGAAAACGTCTGGCAAAAGCGACATTGATGTAACTACATTTTTTAATAGGACCGATGACGACCTTCACGCGCTTGTCGCTGGCACGAGACCGGTAGTTGTTATACCAGATCACCAGATGAATCAATCGATTAGCAAACGATAGATTTAACCATTGGAAAATTAAAGTTTGAAACAATAAGGCATATGATATTCTGATAGAAAGTACTGTTGAACAATAATATTTAAATTATTCAGAAGGTAGCAAACGCACCCAGGTATGTCACTAATAAGTTAAAATTAATATCTCAAAAAGAATTAATAATCATCCTGGCTCGAAGCAGAGCGGTATTTCAGGAGTACCTTAAAACTGTCTCAAAAAGTTTTCAATAATCTATTTTATTATATTCAACATCATTCATAACACATTTTCATTGCTTTCTTAAAAATTATTTATTTCATTTTAGTGCAATATTTTTAAGACGTCCGCGGCCAACAGCTTTTCATAATTGCTTGTTGACTTGGATAATTAAACTAAATACCATACTAGTAATAAAATCAACAAATATCGTTATAGTTTTATAACCTACTTTTAATGTTAAATATTGTTCCCTCGATTTTAACAACCTATCGGTGGCTCTTCTAGTGTCCTCATTGCAACGTTTTGTTGGCACTATAAAATGACTATACTATTACCAAGAATTGGTCAATGAACAGAGCCATTGACATATAACAAGTGATTTGAAATTTAAAAAAATATTATAGAATGCAAATGCGGTTTTAAGAACCTAATAATCCTTCGCCATTTTTAAAGTAAAATGATCGATTTCTATATATTATGACTCTGACTCTTTCTTTTACAGTGTCCTCAATGCAACACTTTGTTTTGGTAGTATGAAATGTAGATATAATTACCAAGAATATTCATTAATGACCAGAGCCATTGACGATATTACACATAACAAGAAAGCAAAATAAAAAAATACTTATAGAATACGATTATTTTAAGAAACAAGTAATCCTTCGCCACTTTTAAAGTAAAATGATCAATTTCAATATACACCTAAGTCTGTTTTTACACGGTCTTTTTGTACACGGTTTTGATATAACACGGTTTGAAAATTGAATATTTTTAATTTTTTTACACGAATTTATTTCATTTAGCACGATTTGAAATTTTATGTACCTAAATTTTTTTGTCAAATTAAATTTTTGCGAAGTATGTTCATATCACAAAAAAGTATTTATGAAAGAAAAAAGTCTGAAACCATCAATAGTATCGATAGTTTGCGAACACTAGCTTAAAGATTTAAGTGAATTCCCCTTTAGCGCGTACAAACAATTTTTACTGGTCAAAGCAAATGTGAATAGCACTAATTTAATTCTTGTTCTTAAAAATTCTTGTTTTTCACCAATTTTAATAGGTTTTAGAGATTAGGAACAAATCACCCATTTTTGTATAAGATCAATGTCTTTTTTTACACGTTTTTTTTTACACGGATTCTTCTGGAACCAATCTCCGTGTAAAAACAGACTTAGGTGTACTACGACATATTAAAATAACTGAAATCGAACAAGAGAAGTTTAGAACTGATATTAGCGCGTTCAACAATGTTCACTTAATAATCTGTATTTTTATTATGTATTATTATATAGATACAATATTCTAAAACCAAACATTAATTACTATTTTGTTCACAAATGTGTATTAAAGATATCTTAAATAAACATAACCACTATGTGTAAACAAGTGACATAGAATTAATGTTGAACTAAATTTTAAGCTCATTTGCATATACGCACGTCGTGGTATCGGTATTTCGTTGTGTCTCGCGATGACATAGATACAATTCGCGGAATTGTTTTTCAAAGAGCGTTGCGGGGAAAACAATCCGGCGCGCGTAGATGATGACATCAACTCGACCGCAAGATACGGCGGCACTCCTTGAGCCGCCGTATTGGCGAGTCGTTCCCGAACAACGTGACATTAGTAGACTCGCGATCAACCTAAGCCGACTGTTTCATTCATAATCAATATTAGATGGCGATTAAAATTTTCGAAACGTGAAATTCTTTCTTCACAAAATTGTATATGTTGTTATGTTCCCAAAAAACTATCGAATTATGCTAATTCGCGTTATTCGAAACAAAAATCAAACTAGTGGTGCTTGGCATTGTACCTTAAAAAAAAACTGCGGAAACTTTCCGTGCCGAAAGTTAAGATTTTTAAAAAAGCTTTAAATTTTCTCGAAAATTTGAAGTCTCTAAAAAATATCTGATAATTTGATGCGCATATGTCTAATGATCGTTTTTAACCGCCAAATGGCATTTTTTAAAAAAAAATCATTGGACCTCCGAAACTGTTTTCTTAAATTTAATCAGTTGTTCATTTCGCCAATACAAGTAGAATGTTTTTTGAATCATTCAAATCGGACGCTCTCTAAAAAACTGAAGCTTCCTATGTCATCGCGAGAATTACCATTTTTGGCACTTTGGTCCCGTATCTGCGAAACGGCTGGGCCTGCCTTGGTCAAAACCTAATTTTCACGTCTTCCCGTTAATAGGAATGATTTTTTTTTGAATCAGCCTATTCGGTTGATCCGTGTTCTCCAAATCATCGACAAAAAATTGTTTCCGCACACACATACATGTTTAAAACCCTTTAAAACGTAAATATATATAAAAAAAATAATTTCCGACTTTTCGGCGATTACTATAACTTACCCTACGGAAAGTTAATAAACATGCTACATTATATAATAATAAAGATTAATGCATGTATTAAGATTCCTTACGTGGTTACATGGGTTTCCTCAAGCAAAAAGCCCCTTTTCAATAAATTTTTTTTACATATGAAAAATGAAATATTTAAATGAATTTTTTTTTATTTGAAAGATATATACTTAATAAACATTTTGTAAAATTTTCGAAGAAAAAATATCAAGATGGCGGTCATTACGACGCCATTTCCGGTAGCCTCTTGGAAAAAAGGTGCCTCAGCGTTGTCAGCAGAACTTCTTTCAGGATCATCCGAAATAAAAATAAAAAATACGTGTTTTAGTTAAGACAATAAACTAGGTATTGGACGAAGAAAAAAAAATGAACATTGAATTTTTGGCAGACGTTTTTATAAAAAAAAATGCAAATTTCGATAAAAATTTCTCCACATTTTTTTTAATGGTTGTAATTTAAAAAAAAATCCTTTGTTCAAGACCTTGTAAATGATATCTCGAAAACCTGAAATAAAATTTCATCAAGATCGGTTGAGTAGTTCGCGAGAAATCTTGACAACTGTCTTTGAAAACATAGTTTTGAGAAAAACGCGTTTAGAGTTTTAAGAGACAAAGGTGGACCTCGAGTGTCCA